ATTACTTTACATTTATTTTAAGTAAATGTAAAGTAATTTTAAATGTGTATTACCTTTGCCCGTTAACATAATATTTTACATAAAATCCACTACATCTGTTTTTTGAGTATACTGTATTTAAGAGAGGCAGCGTGATCACAGTGAGAAAACCTGAGCTACAAAGCTGCATGGCAAACACTGAAGACAACTGCAAACAGTAGGGCAGGTCCTGAAATGACCATTTCTAATTAATATTTGAACAAATTAAAGGCACAGTGTGTAGGATTTGTTGTTTTTAGCGACATCTAGTGGTTGAGTGGTTGAATCATCCTCCCTGGTCCTCCCCCCACCCCCACCCCCCGCTTCCAAACGTAAAGCAGTTGCTACGGTGTCTCTCAGGTGTCAAAAACCTTGAAGTAAAAAAATATTTGAAGTTTAGTTATTGACTGTAAAACAGAAACGTTACCTAGAGGTCTGAACCAGAGGAATAGAGTGTGAGATTCAGGCAGGCAAAAAGGTTTTAATAATAAACTCAAAATCCCTGGCAAGACAGCTCCAAAGCTTACCAAAATCTCAGGAGAAACATGGAGAGCTCGCACAGGCTGAGGGAAGCAGCACAGTGGATGGATGCAGACTGATCACAGGACACAGAGTATAAAGGTGAACTAACAAGGGACTGAGTGGAAACATGAGGATCAGGTGTGCCTGGGAGGAAACACAGAGGCAGGTATACACAGGGAAACACAGAAACACTAGAAAAATGAAAGCAAAAACACAGATCATGACATAGAGGGGATCTGAACACTCGCGAGGGCTGTGAGTCAATAATCAAATGAAGATGCACATTAATTTTGTTGCCACGTGACAGATACTAGAGGTGGGTTATGCTAGAAATTTCTGTATCAATCTGATATTAAGTAAATACAGGGTCAGTATCTCTTAGATTCCAGTGCTTATACTCATTGAATAATTATGTGATTTTGCCTGATGATCATGATAAAACATGGGACAAAGATTTTAGGCTAATATTTTTTTTTGCATAAACTAACTACAACTAAAAAAAGTTGTAACAATAAAAATTTTTTTTCCTATAACCTTCTAGAGATGGGATAAATGGCTCTTTGAAGGGATCCGGATCTTGGGGAGCAGTTTGTTTCATAGGCTACATTCACACTGCAGGCAAATCCGACCCAAATCAGATTTTTTTGACCCATCTGACTCATATCCGATTTTATATGACAGTCTGAACGAGACAAATCCGATTTTTTTCAAATCTGACCCAGGCCGTTTCAGTATGTGGTTTTAAATCAGATATATATCTGATGTTTTCAAAGTGACTGCAGTGTGAACGCTCATGTCACATTCATCTGACTTTTTCATCAGGAGGAGGGGCTGAAGGATCGATAAGACACTAACCTCTAGGGTTGGGCATAATCGTATCGTCTGCAATTAATCGTCAGAAAAACATTAATCGATTATTTTTTGGCATTTGACGATTAATATGATTAATGTCACCAGACAGGCTGACTGGAGATTTCCTCGGTCAGTCCGCTTGGTGCTCCTCTCTGCTTCAAATATGACGAGCATTTAAATAAAAGTTCTGTAATTTATTTATCTATCAACACAATCTAAAATTTGAGGTATAGACTGAAGTCTGTGAT